GTAAACTGTGTAAGCCAACGAACGATGCATCACTAAAACTGTATCATCGATGAATTGAAGAAGCGCATCCCGCATCCAAAATGGTTTGCCTTCCACTTTGTGCTCCTCGTCAAGAAAGGCATTCAAGGAAAGTAGTCCTACATTGTACTACAGTACAGTATGCTACATTTCAAGTATTCTTACATGTTCGTATGCGAAGGCAAGATGGAAGACGACAGAAACCGCAATTTGGTCCCGCATGGAATAAAGGGCATCTGCTTTGCTACATACAGTATTACTGATAGGCGAGTCAGCTTGAAGCTAAACGCGTATACATTCAACTTCAAGCCGCAGCGCCCTCGTCACTCATTGCAGAGCCGCGAAAGGGGGGCTAAACATTGCGGACCGGACTACATGGGCGAAGAAGATATCCTACGAACTGGTTGAGCATGGGCGAAGAAGATATCCTGCGAACTGGTTGAGCGCGGGGTGTGTATTTTCAAGTGGTAAATGACTCTCAGCTAGAGTCAAGGCGTTTTTGCTGTAACTCTATATGAAACAATATATTTACGTAAGTTGTTTATTTAGATAAATACACAAAAAGGAATAAGTGTACTCGAAAACATTATGTACATCGATACAGATATACAATCCTCTTCCCTGCCGATCTTGTGAAGACTCACACCGCAACTAGAGACACTTTCGACGGTCCCTTCGGGAGCAACCGACGTTATTCCAGGAAGTTCCGTGGTGAAGTCGCCTATAGTGACGATCGGGCCAATCTCGGTGGGATTTGAGGGAGCATCAGAAGGTCCATCAGAGACGACAGGGCTTGTTGTTACAGGAGCGACAGTTCGTGGTGGCGGTGGAGGGCGATGTGTGTGTCGATGATGGTGCTGAAGCATTTATGCACTAATTCAGAGTATTTCACGAGCCAAAGTGGATTTGAATCGAAAAAGGAAAGACCCAATGACTACCTTTCCTCTGTGAGGGTGCTCATCAGATTCTGAACTGTCGCTGGAGTGGGGTCTAGCCAGAGCCAAGGCTAGCAAAGCGATGAAAAATACGATAATCAATCTCATTGTGAGCTGCCAGTGAATGGGTCTCCTGCCTTATATAGCACCGATGAATACGCCTTATCTGTTGTCACAAGACCAACTGCTGCCCACGCTGTTTAACTTCCTTTAGAGTTACCGTCACCCCGATCAGACTGATAAGGCAGTTCGTATCGTCCAGCTCAAATTATTATCGAGAGCATCAAATGAATATAAGAAACTCGCTCGGTGTACACGGGATCAAAAATACCCGAAGTGGCATTTATATGCTGCTAAGAACGTTAGGGCAGAAGAAATGTTAGGACTAAGATTAACTCTGTAATAGCACTTGATTGCTCTTTTAGGTGCAGATCAGTCAGAAATCTTCAGCAAACAGGCCCTTCCGAGTTTCGGCAATCGGAAGCTTTCACAAACCCTCAAGGGCTCCAGTTGCTTGAACGGTAATCAAAGAAAGTTTTGTGGAGCTGAAGTTCGTCTTCAAATTCGGGTTCAGCTACAGCGATTGCATTATCGGGTCTCTATATGATTTCTAAGATTCTGATAGGACAAGTATCAGTACTACTACCGCTTCTCTGTCCCATTGCTTCAAATTCAGGTCACATCTCCAGCGAAATCCTCCCAACAATGGTAGATTTGACCATGCCCTAACTCTTGAGGTATTCTAACTTTCTGACCGGGAAAGTTGCATCCGCCTCGAATGAAAATGTTGTGGTAATCGCGTTAAGTATAAAATAACTCCAGAGATTTTCCTACCAACCCCACACAAGGGGAAACTTTGGAATCAAAATCTGAATTGAATTTCAAAGAGTGGGATGGTGTAGTGAAGCTCTTACTGATTGTCGGCAAATGTGCAGCTCCATTCGTACAATTTTGCTATACAATTTTGCTCCTTAGTTATGGCCACGATATGACTGAAGAACATTTAGATAAACGACTCCCACAACAGCCTGATAACATTCTTCTTTCTACTGTATAACAAGCACTTGCTTACCAGGGCAAGCTCCGCCCAACTTACCATGGAGACTTTGAATGCAGACCTGGGCTAGATCGATATAGTTCTATAAGGGTATTACAATATAGATAGCCAAAGCTGCCTACCTGAAGCTTCACAAGCAACGCGTAAGCAGCTAACGTTTTTAATGCGTGCCAGTAGCGGTAGAGGCATGGTGTGAGCTGCAGAAGAATAAGCGAGAATCGCGTTACGTCGAATCGAATCGTGGTGGTTCAGTGGTAAGGTTTGACGTTCGACGACTCGATTCGACGTATGCGATTCCTCGCTTATGCTTCACAGCTCACCACCAAGCCTCCACCCTACTACACCAAACAAAATTTACCTGCTCATAAGTTGCTTGTGAATGCAGGTTCTGCTATCTATATTTGCAAATGGCATATAGACTCTATCAATCTACTCAGGTTTCTATTCAAAGTCGTGGTTAAGTCTGGCGCGACTTTTCTGTATCCATCACTGATTCCGTCCATAATCCATCTAGCATCGGCTCATGCTAACGGTCATAATTTGAGCTGACGATACGAAGCCTTATCAGTCTGATCGGGATGACGTTAGCTCTGAGGAAGTTAAACGTCGTGGGCGACCTCTCGTGACTTCAGATAAGGAGTTTTCGTCTGTGTTATATAAGGCAGGAGTCCCACTTACTGACAGCACACAATGAGATTCGCTATCCTGTTTTTCATCGCTTTGCTAGCTTTGACTCTGGCTAGACCCCACTCCAGTGACAGCTCAGATTCTGATGAGCAGCCCCATAGAGGAAAGGTAGTCATATTTCATGATTTCCATAAACTGGTAGCTCATCGAAACACGCTTATAGCTATAATTATTATATAAATGCTTCAGCCACATCATCATCATCACAAGCACCATCATCGACACACGCATCGCCCTCCACCGCCACCACAAACTGTCGCTCCTGTAACCACTGACGGAAGTCCTGTCGTCTCCGATATACCATCTGATGCTCCCTCTAATCCGACCGAATTTGGCCCCATCGTCACTACAGGAGGTGTAACCACGGAAATTCCTGAAGTCACATCAGCTTCTCCCGAAGGAACCGTCGGAAGTGTCTCTGTTGGGGTGTAAGCCTTCCCAAGGTGAACGAGAAGGACTGTGTAGCGCATTAATGCACATACGTATGAATTTCCATGTATATTATGTAATTATTATTTATGCAATAACTATTTATGCAACTTATGTAACTGCCATGAAATAAACAAGTTCAACATACTCACCTCATCTGGAGCTATCATTTGCAGCTCACTTCAGAAACACGCACACATTACCTGTATCATTTGAACACTTACGTACTACAAGTTGGGTGTCAGTAATGGTAACCTTGCGATCACGGAACTTTTTTACGGGATTCTATATAGTTTCTGCTGTTTTTGGGTGATGAAGTACTCTTCGAATTGTGCGCTTCTATGCATCACACTGCTGAAGCAGTTTTGAGAAGTGCTCACATTGTCTCCTAATAGCAAACCTATCACTGACTTTCACAAACGAGAAAATCCGGCACGCAACATTCGCCATAAAAATGAATTTGGTATCATAAGTGTATCAACGCGGCTACTCTTATCGTCCATATCAATGCCTAGAAGGAGTGTGCGCAGATGTGCCGCCCCTCCCCCACCCTAATGCAGACAACGACGAAAACAATTTATCAAAATGCAAAACAATTCAAATGAATAATGAGCCACGAACTACCCCTTGATTTGTGCGCTTCTATGCATCACAGTGCTGAAGCAATTCTGAAGGCGATTCCCGCGATTAAGTGTCATGAATAGTTACTGCTCTATAATGAACGAGTAGCTGATGAGTGATTCCCCAAAAACGAAAAGGCAAAAAGAATCTCCAGGAACACAGAACAAAATAACTTCTTGATAATGACACCGCCCTGCAGTTTCTGTGCAATCCCTGGCTCAAGTTGCTTTTTCGGCAGACAGTTAGGATGTATTCTACAAAGTTACAAATAAATAATGGTCAGTGACGCGATTACAGTCCGAGCAACCGAGCAACGGGCAGACACGAGTCCGAGCAACCGAGCAACGGGACAGACACGACAAGCCTAAAGAAATGGGTGCGTAGAGGTAAAGACGTGGTCAAATCTGGTGCGCAGTTAGATCAGCGAATAACCGAGTTCATACGATCCTCTAGACCGCTGACGAAAAGGGGACTCGACTGCGAAAAAAGAACAAGGTCCTCTCGGGCACCGGCCAAATGTCAGTTGCGAAGGGTTGAATCGGACGTAGGCGGAAAAGGCAAGTTCCCAAAAACACTAATGGTCCTCATCGATTGCGGACGAATGGGCAACTGAAGAAATGATACAAAGCTGTTGGTTGGGTATCCATCGCTTTTTATAAGGTATCGAGCCCATTTTAATTGACTGTGTTTGTGGATGCTTTTAGTGCGCCTCGATGACCTTAATCCTGGAAATCGAGCACTATTCTGCAGCACCTTCGATTTCTTCCAGATCGGTGTTTCATTTTCCTGTATGGGTCTACAAATGTCAGTGGAAAGGCTTTGTGGGACCGTTCGTTCGCTCGCTCGCGCGATACACTCCTGTGTAAGGGCGGTAAAGCATTTTCACCCAATTAATAGCGGGAGATAGAACACGCACACGAATAGATTTGAAGTAGTGCATTCATTACTGGTGTATGACGGAGCGATGGCAAAATAGTGAGGAACAGTAACTTCCAGGCTCTGACGAAGGCGACTAGCCGAAACGTTAGCCCAGTAAAGTTATTTAACACCTTGGTTGTGGCTACAGACTCATTGAAGACAAGACCACACACGATGCCAAGGTTCATGGACAGTCGAACATGGAGTATGAGGAAGAGTTGTTGAATGCATTCCTAGCCGTGCTATTTCGTGCGAGTATCGAACATGTGACCATTTTTCACCCCGACTGGATGAAAGTGTCGTAGGACTAAAACTCTAACGCATGCCTGATTCAAAAGGCATATAAAATAAACTAACACCTTGACTTCGATATTTCGCCCTAGACGATGACCTACTTCGAAAGTGCTGATAACTCCTTGCGTCCATCTGAGTTGAGCTCAGAGAATGCGAAACGAAACACGGGCCTTTAAGAAACCTGAGAACTCGCCTCAAGAAGGACTGGGATAAGTTTGACGATGGCTGCTCGCGGATCACAATGTTTGTTTTCTTGAAGGAATGTCCGCAATGACCTACGAAAATGGGGAGGACTGTTATGGGAGGGTTAGTGTGGCTCCACAGAGGACAACCTTCTGCCAATTTTGCGACCGAAAGTTGTAAGGAGTAGGAGTTATGGTGCAAAATTGCTCCAGTGGTATCTTCCCTTTTCCAGTGGCTCCGCCTCCAGACTCCGCCAATAAGAGCCCGCCTTCCTAGCCAAAAGCAATGTTACGGACAATTAGCATGAAATGGATGCTACCTTGTCTTTTGTGGGATCACTGGGTTCACTATATGGAGTCAGCAAACTGGAGTCGCCCCTAACAAGCGGTTTTTTTGGCATTTCGCACGTGCAATTGTTTGAGGCTGAAGGGGTCATATTAAAGGTGTTTCCGACGTTCCCTCTGGCATTTTCTCCTCACGGACGAGTCACCTACGTTCCTTATGCCGTGCTTTGAGCAGTTCCCGCCGGTCACTGTCCCATGAGGCAGTAAGGTGTCCATCATGAACCAGTAACGATTAGTGAAAAACATCCCCAATAGAAAGCAAAAGAAATTGCCAAAAAGCCTCTAAACAGAGCTCTTTGTCATGATAATTGCTGTTTTTTTCTTCAAGCAATGGTTGAATGAGAACTCAATATAATTTTTTATTGGTGAGCTTTCGCTGCGTAGCAGCTTCTTCAGACCTACAATAAAACGAGCATACAATACTATACCTTACAACACAGCAAAGTTCGCCAGAGTTACAACAAGACTGTATTCCCTGCCTTAAACAAATAAAGTTGCTCAGCTCAATCAGTTTCACTACAGGGCCTATAACATGTCAACCCACACTACTCCCGGACAAACAACCTACCCTAGCGGCCCACTCCAATACACACTTGAAAATACTCAGCAAGACGCGCGATGGCCCAGACTTTACGTTATCACAACTGCTAAGCAATTAGTCGTAGTGCCTCCATTAGCTCGTCCCTGTTGTTTATTTCGGGGGATAAGCGCTTGATAGCGAGCGCCTCGAGCAGTTTCCTTTCTAATGGACATTCCTTCGTGCGGTTCAAGACAGAAACAGATAATTGCTGTTTAATGCCTTCTTGGAGTGAAGCATTCTAATTATAAGGTTCTCCGGACGTGTTGGAAAGTACACAGACTGCCTGCACCCTCGGGCTCACAAATTGTTTCGTCATATTTACCAAAGCTAAGGTCTTATCAAAATGACCGGATGACGACAGCTCTAAAGGAAGTTAAACATCGTGGGCGGCAGGTGAAATAGTGATTCTAGATAAGGCGTATCCAGTGGCGCTATATAAGGCAGTAAACCCATCAAATGACCGCTCACAATGAGATTCGCTATCGTATTTTTCATCGCTTTGCTTGCTTTAGCTCTAGGTAGACCCCACTCCAGTGACAGCTCAGATTCCGATGAGCACCCTCACAGAGGAAAGGTAGACATTAGATCTTTCTGCCTTCCATTCAAATCTAGGTTGGTACATGAACTACTTTATAAGTGTTTAATGCTTCAGCCACATCATCACCATCACAAGCACCATCATCGACACACACGCATCGTCCTCCATCACCACCACAAACTGCCGCTCCTGCAACCACTGAGGAAAGCCCTGTCGTCTCCGATGCACCATCTGATGCTCCCTCAAATCCCACTGAAATTGTACCGATCGTCACTATAGGCGACCTCACCACAGAAATTCCTGAAATAACAACATCGGCTGATTCAGAAAGCACCGTCGAAAGTGTATCTATTGCGGCATAAGTCTTTCCAAGGTCAACGGGAAAGTGGATTGCATATGTGTATATACGTTCATATATATGTAGTCCTGTATACATACCTATTCATGATATTACCATGGAATAAACAAAGTCAACAAATGCGTTACTTTATCTGAAGTCAGCTTTGAAGAACATTCCGACATCACGTGCGCATCATTTGTACACCTAGTTACTCGAATCTGGGTAAAAATTCTAGTAACCCTTTGCGATTACAAATTCTTTTCTCTATTCACCCGAGGAATTCATTAGGTTGGTGGGAAAGTTCTGTCATACTTCTCGGAGCTCGAAATACTTGACCACCTGAAGAGGGGTAACTCCGACCTGCAAGAGGGGTAAACCGGGTAGTCTGAGCATTTATACCCAAGGCAAGTTGGTTTTTTCTTAATACTTAGTGCCACTCTTTTGACTCCTTGCTCCTCCTTCTTGTTTGCAATAATGGACAGTTTAATGGCGATCACCATCGGGATCATTTAGTTACAGACAAGGAGTGACGTCAAGTATCGACCTCTGGGCGCTTCTGAACACTTATGTGTAGACCAGCTGGTAACGCCGCCACTACTGTGCGCATGGCTAAGCCTATGCTACTGGTCACTGATGGATCTCTGTGCTGACCTGTCGTGCTTATCGCACTCCTTAGAACACCCATCATTCGTATGATACGGGCAGCTTTGCGGTCAACGAACTGCGAATGCGTTCACAGTATCGAGATTGTATTGAATGCCATTACTTCCAAATACTACGTAGAAATGATAAAGCGGTTCCCACGTATCTACCTGTCGGTGGCTCTTATCGCTCCTCATTGGCAAACATCTTCAATTAGGGGTTCGGAAACAGTCTCAACGTGTAGCGCTGAAGAGGATAAACATCGTTGACCCATTGCTGTTATAACCACTTATCGGATATTATATCACAACGTAACTTCCTCCACCAATGCTCTCTAACCACCCCCAAATCACTGTTGGAAGCAGTCTACCACTGTTGCTACAACTTTAGCTAAATGTTTCAGGAGCTTCCTTTCTTGAGTGATCCCCTGTGGTAATCTTCCTTCATGTCAGGAGCTCCTTTCTTGAGTGATCCTTTGGTAGTCTCTCACGGTTTATCTTTTTCCTGCACCACAAAAAATGTTTCCCATTCTCCCCCTGATAT